CCCTTTCCCCTTCTATCGAGCGTATTTCTCAAAAATATGAGCTTTAACGCAGAAATTTGGTAATTTATTGGGTTAATAAACAGAATTTTGTTAATTTTAAAATTTATACAAATTCAGAGGAGTTGAAGTAGCAGATAGTCATAGGAAACAACAGAATTCATAGGTGAACATGGCGGACGATAGGACACATCAGCGTTGGATCGCAGCCGGCCAATCGATTCAAACAGGAACCAGCCGAGTGCGACGCCAGCTAGTGGCCTGGGTCACCTCCGGATAGACAAGAATCTAATCGATTTGACCATTCAGAAAGTTTGAAAACAATATTCGATCTGATGGATGAGAGAACCTTACATGAATTACAGAGCTATTCTGCCACCTAGCGCTAACGCACAGTCGTAGACTACTAAACTGCAAGCACTAGTAGTGTAAAGATGTTCGCCTGACACATTTGAAAGAAAAAACGTTTATCCAAACGAGCAGGTCAGCCACATCTCGCTTTGACATTGTCCACATCAAAAAAACGACATCTTTATTGTTGCTATGCTCATTCTGTAGGAAATCGCCTGAAATTGAAACGTTTCTGTAATTTACTGTTGCACAAGCTCCATCGGAAAGATTTGAGTGCTGCTCTAGAGCAAAAACTTACAAAAGGTGGGAAACTTGTAAGAAAGAATGAGGTTAAAGACAGAATGGGAAAAAACTGGGAATAATTCTACGGTTCTACAGCCCTATATAGGCTTGGCGACTTATCGTATTCTATTCTCGGCAATCAGTTCGTAAAAGCAAAACTGGGAACCTACTTATTGAAGATTACTACTCAAAGTATGTATTTTGTCAGTTTATTGATATTATCCTCGCTCAACATTTCATTCACTTTAAAATGTATCAAATCACTGTCACGATTCCATTAGCCAGCGTTGGTATTTTGTTTTTGTTGAATCATCTGTTGAACAACCATAAAATCTGTTCCACGTGTTGTACACTCCAGAGTTATATGTTTATTCGCAAAATATTCCACATCACGATTCAAGTACAGGAACGTATTCAAAAGAAAACGCGTCTTTTAAAAAATTCTTCAGCAAAGTTTGTT